GCCATGCTGGCTGGGGAATTCTGGGAGTTGAAGTCCACTCATCTTAAAGTGGCCAAGTTTGGACAACACTGGCTTAAAAGCATGGTGCCATTCCCACTGGGGACAAACATACACGATTGCATTTTCACTCATATATGCAGGAGTTTAAACACTGTAATTGTAGTACTGACAACAAGAAAGTCCTCCAATATATGTAGAGAATATATGTAGCTCAGGGTTGAACTGTGGAGTCCTTGGGGTTCCCTGAGCTTAGTTGTTTTCTTGCAGACATTTCATTTCCTGTCTAGGTCTTCAGTGGTAGAAGGGAGTGGGGTTTGCTCTCTATTTATGTACAGTAGCTTGCCCTGTCAATGTTGGTGGGGGACTTGTTTTTTCCTTGGTGTTCCTAGATTAGGCTGTTGTTTACTGCTTGATTGTTTGTCTGCGGTGGTAGTTCCTTGATTAGGGTATTGAGACAATAAAAGGACAATAAAAAGGAAACAAAAAGACCAGAACATCTCCTCACCAGCAATCAATGCCCAAATAAGCAGGGAGTAACACCAGGATTAACATCAGACAAACAATCAAGCAGTAAACATCAGCCTAATCTAAGAACTACCAAGGAAAAAACAACTCCCCCACCAACACTGACAGGACAAGCTACTGTATATAAACAGAGAGCAAACCCCACTCCATTCTAGCACTGAAGATGTTACCTAGACAGGTAATGAAATGTCTGTAAGAAAACAACCAAGCTCAGAGAACCCCAAGGACTCCGCAAGAAAGTCCTCTTTAAAGGTCTTGGAGATTACCTGTGGAGATCACAAAGTTGGGTAGGAGAGGATTTGCCCTTCCCTCCATATAATTATTTTCCCTCCCAAATTTGTCTAGCCAAAGATTTTGGTAAAGTGATTAACATTCTAGAGCTGAAATTAGCAGAGGCATTCACTGTTGAAGTCAATAGCAAGGTGCTAATCCCAGTGTAGTCCAAGTTCCAAATATACAGGTTCTTATTGATGGTCACATTTAAGTGAATGAGACAGAAGGTATTATCAAATCCAGTGAAATCCAGCTCTTGAGGAGCTGTTATTGCTTGAAGGCAATGCATGGAGCACACAAAGTTGGGAAATTATAGGAAGCTGTTCCAGTACCACCCTATACTTAAGTACAGCCTTAAATGCAAGAAATCCTGAGACTTCTTCTAAGCACAGCCAGTGCTGATCAGCTCTGATTACAAGATTCGGGCTGTTCAGGAGCAATAGTCTATTCCTGGGTAGACATCCTGCCTAAAAGCATCCCAAGCAAAGAAACACTCTTCCACTTCTGTCCTCTGGCTTTCTAAAGGAGCTGGTGAAGTTTCCCTGTATATCTTAGATAAAGTATGAAAAACACTTTGAACATTTTAAGGGCATAATCCAGAATCCAGTCTGAATCCAGACACAGACTATTTTCATGGAAGATCCTCACAGGCTGTAATGGTATATGGGAATAACCTTGGGAGACAGGGCAATAAGACGCAACCAAGGGAACAGTCAGATAAAAGGCTGCTTAGCCAGCAGCAGGAATGTGGGTGGGGCAAGAGGCTCAGAAGAGACTCTCCCTAGTTTTGGGGCTGGAAAGGGGATGGGGGGGAGAGAAGTTCTTTCAGACTTGCAAGATTCTGTTAACATAACCTTACAATAAAGTAAAATTGGCTCAGCTGGTCGTGTTTCCTGTCTGGTCTACCTTGTAAGGCTAACATCAGTTTTGCAAGTCTGAAAGTTTTTGTTTCCCCCATCCCCTTTCCAGCCCCAAAACTAGGGAGAGTCTCTTCTGAGCTTCTTGCCCCTCCCACATTCCTGCTGCAGGCTAAGCTGCCTTTTATCTGATTGTTCCCTTGGTTGTGTCCCATTGCCTTGTCTCCCAAGGTCATTCCCACATACCATTACCTAGGCTCAGTGGAACCATGTTCATTTACCCAAATACATTCTCAGTGCACAGATAAGTTGGATTGTGCCAAGGGAGGTTATCCTTGACTAATAGGTCCCTATAAAGCCTTCTCTTGGTGCCCTAGGTGGAATTGAATTGGAATAAAAGAGAAAGAAATAAGGTGCATTAATCAAGAAAAATATCTGTTATTACTATTACTATTACTTATTATTCTTATTCTTGCTATTATTTGCTTTGTCCTGTGATAATCTAGCCTTTAGATAAAGCCTCCAGATACTTTGCAAAACAAGAGATCCCTTTCCCTAAAATAGATATGAGTGGGGAAAAGTATCTGAAGGAGTGCTATGTATTTGAAGATTCTACAGACCCCAAAGCACCTATTGTGGTTTTTTTCCCACTAATAAATGACACCTTCCAGAAATACAAAGCACCAGGTAAGTTCCTTGTTTCCTTAACAGAACCAACCATTTTTTCACAGGTGAATACTCACCATTTGGTGAACTAAACCAACTACTACACTTATGCTATTACAAATCAGTAAATTGGGAAGGGTACAGAAGCCTGTCATCATTACTGATAATCTTCCTGCTAAGTTATCCTTCATTTTCTAAGTTTATATAACTCTCTTTTTCTTAAAAAAAATTAGTTGTACAACCTTGGAATAGGTAGGAAGATAATACTGTTTAAATTATAATAAGTCAGCGGTGTATAGTCTGAGATCCCAGGGACATATATGGACCTCCAACCCTGGGTCTGGCCCAAAAAAGCCTTGGGAAAGTTGTTCCCAATTTGCATTGCTCAACATAACAATGGGGAGAAATTGTTAAAAGGCAATGGGAGACATTCTATTTAATTAAATTAATTTTAGGATTTGTCTGCCCCCATATCTTTGTTCTTTGTCCTTGCCTACTTTTTGAGTGCAATCCCCAGCACGACATTCAAAGGCTGCCCCCCTTCTGGTAGTTGAGCTTTTTTATGTTAAATAGATATAATATTGTGAGCAATATCATGCATTTGAAGTGCATGTCTTTCCTCCATCTCTAATATTCATTGTGTCTTCTTTTAGAATCTCCAGCCTTAGCATCATAAGGATACTAGATGTCTGTTTGTACAATAATACTCCATCCCACAACAAACAGGAAGTTAGGAAGGAAATGCGGGGGGGGGGGGGAGAAAAAGGAAGGTTAAGGGAATATATGCTTTGTGTCTTGACAGCTGAAGGGCTGTCCAGACTTCTGCCCAGCAAGCAAAGGCCTCAACATCACTGCCATTCTACTATAATTGATGGATAATGGAGCCAAAGTTATTCCTTTCCAGAGGAATGTAGGGGATGGCCATGAATCTGCTGGATGCATAATTTCCTTGGTTCACTAATGTGTCACCAGAAAGACTGAAAACATATATCAATGTTAAAGATACTTATATATTTTCTGTCTCTTTAATGCCATGAGGAAAACAAAGCAGAATGGAAGAGCACCAGAACACTCCCCCCAGATTGTGTTCTGGCTAGTGTAAGATAACAATTTATTTTTCCTGTCACAACTCTTTCCCTACCCCAGATTTGTTTGTAGGATCCTTAAGAAGACCTTTCCACTTACATACAGACTTCACATTCTAATTAATTTAATAGAGTTACTTCTGAGTAGATATTAATTGTATTATGCTGTAAGAAAGGAAAATCAGTCTACAACTTCATAATATAATTTTTGCTTCACTCAACTTACATTGTTTATAAAAGTCAAAGTAAAGTAGATGGAGAACATTACTGAAATTAAGATTATATGAACTAATCCAGCATCGGACTGGGGAACTGGTCACTCTGCTTTCTTAACCAAAGCAGAGCATCAATGCAATAAATATGTAATACTGAGTATTGCTGCATAAGTCAGTGGGAGGGAAAACTTGTGGCCCTTGAGATGCTTCCAAAATACAACTTCCAGCAACTCAGCTACAACTTCTATTTGGAATTGGTGTGTGTGTGTGTGTGTGTGTGTGTTTGTTTTATCATTTGCTTTAGTACGCAAGTGTGGCTAATGGTGAAGAATAGTGGAAGTTGTAATTCAGAAAGCCACAGATTCCCCATTCCTGATCTGATCAGCAGCAGAAGGTTTTGGAACAAAAACGCACCAGATCAACTCTTGTGATATACAATCATAAAATAATGTAACCACATGGGCATTGCTCCTTGTGAGAAACCATGTGGATACGTTAACAGTGCTAAAAAGGAAATTATAGTATTTTGTGCTGGTATGATTGACCACATTAATACTGGGAGCCTCTTCATGTAGCTTCTCATTTAACAAAAAAGGTTTTATTTCATGTGACCCTCTGTTCTGCAAAGACAGCATATTTATTTATAATATTTATAAATACTATTTATTTATTAGATTTCATTTGTGAAAATGGTATTGACTTGCTTTTACAATAGGGACGACAGCACTAATAAACAGATACATTTGTTGTGTGGATTTTGAGCAAATAATATATATTTAATGTTTGTTTTGCAGGTATAAAACGTAGTCCCGCTGAACTGGAGCAGGGTGAAGTTGACATGACTAGTCCTCTTTCTCCATATGGAATACAAAACTTTGAATACACTGAGGAGAATTTTGATAAATTAATAGAGCTAACTAGTTATAATATTCAGAATAACAAAAACTTAATCCTCCAAGCTTTACAAAGAGCAATAGAGAGAAAAAAGCATCAGAAGAAATAGACATCTTCTCAAATATGACTGAACTAGCTATTGCAATTTCTATAGATTAATTTATCATCAACGGCTATGTCAGTTTAAAATACAGTAAGATCATAATACATTTTGACTGTGAGGTTATATTAGTAGAACTTGGGAGCAGTCTGATCTGACAGTAGCATCTAAACTATAGAATGTTCTTCCTAGGACATTCCCAGGAATGTATATTGAACATTCATTTCTTGACCCTTCAGATATCAAATAAAAAGTGCCTGAAGTGATATGGTTCGCAACTGTAGTCTTTGCTTTTTTCCTGTGTATGTTAGACCTTTATTATTCTTGATATTATTATTTGGACTGTTATTGCTGTGGCTACAGGTTAATATATAATTTACTTATTACATGTTATATTATGTAATAAATGTAATAAGTAAATTATATATTTCTCATAGTCAAAATTCTCTGAGCAGGTTACAAATGTTTTTAAAAATCCCTGAAAAGATAAAAACAATATGTCTGCATTGCTCTTTTTTCTTTCTGCTCAATAAATAAACTAAACAGGAAACACGTTGCAAATGGGAGCTTCATTTTAAAAGGAAATTGGGCCTCCGAAGAAGTTGACATCATCTAAGGGACATAAGCAAAATAGGTTGGGGGCTTAATATACCGACTTTGCTTTATATCAGTGTAAAAAAAAAATAATTAAAACTTGCATGGCCAGAGGAGCAAGAATTGCCAGTTCTTGACATAGAAGAAGAAAAGCAACTTCATTTAATCTGAAATATTGGAATGAATAATTAAGATATTGTGTAAGAGGAAAAGATTCAGGGTAGGAAAGCATCATTCTGGAAATGTCAGATGAATTTAAATTGTGAGAGTTAGATGAGAGATACAGGGGGAAATCCTATAGTGGGGTGGGGTTAATTTTGGTTTGTTTGTTTTTTCCAACCCTTTTGTGAAAAACAGTTTTTGTTAACCTTGTCCTCCGGTGATATTAGATTACTCCCAGACTTAGTCTGATCAAGTATGCTTGGCCCTGCTTTCTTAACCAAAGCAGAGC